CCATTTTCTCAGTCTTCGTGGTGGATTTTTCTAGGCCAGCCATTTTCTCTTCTACGTCTGAAATTCTATTTTCTGTATGATCCAGTCTGCTGCTTTTTTGTTGTTGTTGTTTTTTGAGAACTTTCGCTATAGGGCACGTGAACTCACCAGACAGACAGAGAGAGACATAGAGACAGAAAGTGAGAAATCACCCCCCAGGGGGGATGGTCACGCTGCAATCCCTTCTCCTCCATTCTCCTCTCGGGACCCTGGGCACGCACGCACACGCACCTGGCATGAGTTTTAAGCCACCGGGTCTGGGACGTGAACCGTGGTCGACTACGTGGGAGTCCAATTAGCCATTACGCTAACTGCTGGTTCCCTAGTCTGCTTTTAATACTTTCAAGGGAGATTTTGATTTCCTGTATTATAGACTTCATTTCTAACAGTTCCGTTTGACTCTTTTGTAAAGCATGTAATTCTTCTTCTAGATCTTGCAAGAATTTCCTCACCTCCTGGAACTCATCAACTCACCTCCTGGAACTCGTCAACTTCTTTCTCCTTTCTCTTTAGCAGTTCGTTGTCTCTCTTCTCTTCCATCTCAGTTAGCTTCACCATTATGAATGTTCTAAATTCTTTATCAGACATTTCCATGATTTGCATTGAACTGCTTGTCGATGAAGAGGAGTTATTCTTTTCCCTTGGAGGCGAGGTATTTTCTTGCTTTCCCATATTTCTTGTGGTCCTGTGGTGATTTCTTGTCATCTGATGGATGGTGTGCTTCTTTCTAATTCTTGGAGTTCAATCTGAATGTTCAAGAGCAAGCAGAAAGAGGTGATCTGGAATCTTTTGCCGTCCTGTTGTGATTACTGGTGCAGCAGATTCAGTAGACATTGAGGAATGTTAACCCTAATAGTATTTGGATGTTTAGCTACAGTGCCCTTAGATCCATCACGCTAACTTTGTTTGCTGGAGGCTGAATTATCAGTAGAAAATCTTCATTTTTCCTGTCCCCTGAAATGACTACTTTGCAGGAGCCATGAGGAATCCTCTTCTCACGTTCCTTATCTTTTAGTGTACGGCTCTGGGGCATTAAGTACACCCACAGCAGATGTGGTGCCTGGTCAGCCCCATCCTGCCTTCAGGACTTTTTCATCTTCCCCAGCTGAAACTCTCCCCTTTAAACACCAGCTCCCCAGGCTTCTGGGCACCCAGCCCTGACAGCCCCATCCTGCTTTCTGTCCATATGGGTCTAACTACTCTAGGTACTTCACGTAAACGGAGTATGCAGAACTTGTCCTCTGTGGCCGGCTTGTTTTACTTAGCCTTATGGTTTATTTTACCTCAAGGTTCATCCGTGTGCTATCACACATCAGAATTTGATTCTTTTTCTAAGGCTGAGAAATGTTCCATTGTGTGTATGCGCTACATCTTGTTAACTGTTCATTGCTGGGTGGGTCGAAGGAGTTGGGCTTAGGGTTTGTCCCCCAAGAGTAGTGCTGCTGTGAATGTGGGTGTAGAGATACTGTTCAGGCCCTTGCTTTTAGTCCTTCTGGGTGTACATGCAAGTGAAACTACGGGTCATCATGCTGATCTTGTGTTTAACTTTTATAAAACTTTATATTTTCATTTAGTTAGGTTGAATTTAAATATGACTTAAGATACTTGGTTTTAATGTGAACTACATTTTTGAAATTTAGAATTTAACTGAAGACAATTAGGAGCAATAGTATGTGTATTACTTTAAAAGGTGTTATAGTGAGGATTATTTATAAAGGAAAACTGTAATATAACTTTAAAAATCTCTCACATTAGGGGCCAGCAGTTGGCGTAATGGCTATGACACTGGACTCCCATATAGTTCACTGTGGTTCGAGTCCTGGACCTGGTGGCTTAAACTCACACCGGGCGCATGCGCATGTGTGCCCAAGATCCCTAGAGGAGAATGGAGGAGAAGGGATTGTGGTGTGGCCATCCCCCCTGGGGGGTGATTTCTCGCTTTCTGTCTCTCTGTCTCTCTCTGTCTTTCTGGCGAGTGCACGCGCCCTGTAGCAAAAACCTCTGCCAAAAAAAAAACCTCTCACATTCACAATACCCTGGCACACTCGTTACCATCATTCCATGGTTACGTGAGGTACCATTGTTAGTCATTGTGCACATATCCTTCGGGTGAACCTTAAGCAGGCCATCCTGAAATAACTGGCAACTGTCTGAGAGTATTTTTTTTTTTTGAGAGGTTTTTTTTGCTATAGGGTGCGTGCGTTCACCAGGCAGACAGAGACAGAGAGACAGAAAGCGAGAAATTACCCCCCGGGGGGATGGCCACACCGCAATCCCTTCTCCATTCTCCCCTCGGGATCTTGGACACGTGCGCACACACGCCTGGCCTGAGTTTTAAGCCACCGCATCCAGGACACAAACCACGGCCGACTACATGGGAGTCCAGCGACATAGCCATTACGCTAACTGCTGGTCCCTTTCTGAGAGTATTTTAAAATGTGCAGAAATTGGCTCTTATATTTGTTTGAAGTGAGATTGTGTCTGAACATATGCACGCCCCTAAGATGATCGGGCTTCTTAACCTTCCACCTGTTTCTTTTTCCTTTTTCAGCACATAAGTGCACATCATGCATACGAGTCCCAAATCTCGTCAATGGCAAAAACCATGTCTAGGTTAGAAGAGGAGGCCCGACGTCAGGAGGATGAGAAAGCAGCGATATTAAGTGATCTGTCTTCTCTCAGAGAACTTTGCATTAAGCTTGATTCAAGCAAAGATATCATGACCCAACAATTGAATTCCAAAAACCTTGAGTTGGAGAGGGTAAGCGTGAAAGAGAGATCACCTCAGCCCAGTGTGTCCCCGTGTCTCTCACTGTCTCATTGCTCCCGCCACTGCCTGATGTGTCGTGCCCCTTCAGAGTAGTTACTTTTGACTACAGGATTTGGGGGACTTCAAAAAGTTCATGGAAAAATTCATTCTGAAATGTAAGTTTATTTTGGCACAAAAGATCATTTGAAACCCATGCATGCATATTTGTAATATGCATTTTTCGTGAACTTTTTGAAGATGCCACATAAATTCTTTGCTAAGATTTCTCTGGCAAACATGGTGTTGTTTTGTAATACATGCGCATTTAAGATATTATGAATGTTTAAATTATAGATCAAGAGCATATCCTAGTACATTCTTTTTCTTTTTAAAGGTAGGACTTGATCAGTTCAGTTCTTCCTAAATGGAATATTTTTCCTGATTAAAAAATAAAATCTCGGACCAGCAGTTAGCGTAATGGCTATGTCGCTGGACTCCCATGTAGTCGACCGTGGTTCGCATCCCGGACCTGGTGGCTTAAACTCTGGCCAGGCGTGTGTGCATGTGTGCCCAAGATCCCGCGAGGAGAACGGAGAAGGGATTGCGGCGTGGCCATCCCCCTGGGGGGTGACTTCTCACTTTCTGTCTCTGTCTGTCTGACAAGCACATGTGCCCTATAGCAAAAACCTCTCAAAAAAAAAAAAAATCTCAAGGGCCATCAGGTGGCATGGTGGTTAAGGGCACTGGACTCTCACATGGCCGACTACAGTTCAAGTCCTGGACCTGGCAGCTTGCTTTCTCACTTTTCTTCTCTTTCTCTCGGTTACTCTGTCCTTCCCTGGTCAAATCTAAAGAAAGAGAGAATGAGAGGGAGAAAGGAAAGAAGAAAAGGGAAGAAAAGGAAGGAAGGAAGTTAAATAATTCTTTAAAAAACAAAATCTCAAGGCATTTCAATCATGTTTAATGAAACAAGTTTGCTTAGCTAGAACTTCCCATTCCCCAACAGGCATTGCTTTAAACAGCCTACTGTGTGTTGTCAAACATGGTGTTTACAGGCCCAGCATTGTGCTACGTGCAGCCACAGTGCTGTGTTCCAGAGACTGGGATCACATGGGATGCCCAGGTTCAGGTTCAGGTTCAGGGCCAACCAAAGGCTGCTGTGCACTTGTAACCCAGTGACTCAGGAGGCTGAGGCAGAAGGATCAGGAGCTCAAGGCTGGCCTGGGCAACAAAGCAAGGCCCTATCTAAAAGAGTTGAATAGGCCAGCTGGTGGCATGGTAGTTAAGGCAGCTGGATCCTACATGGCCAACTGCATGGTTCAAGTCCCAGACCTAGCAGCTTGAAAAACACACTTGTGTGTGCCCAAAATCCCACAAGAAGAAATGGAAGAGTGAGGATTTCTGTGTGACGATCCCCCATGGGGAGGAGGGTGCTGTCTCTCTTCCTTCTCTGTTGTCTCTCTCCAGTGGATGTATGTGCCCTGTAATGGAAATTTTATTTTAAATAATAAACAACTAGGCGTAGTGGCACATGCCTGTAATCCCAGCTGGGAGGCCCAAGCAGAGGATCACAACAGTGAGACCTACCTTAACAGCACCAAAGTGGGGGGTCTGTTTTCACTCATCCAAAATCAAGAGGTATTTTTGAAAGTTTATGAGAAAATTAGTGTTTTGAGAAAGCTATGCATGCATTTCAAAATGTTTTAGTTTTTATCTGTTACTTTAATTCTGTTTTTCTACTAAGTTTTTGAAGTTCCCTCATGAAATACTGGCTTTAGTCTTGTAAGAGTAATTGGTAGACTCACACGTGTCCTGTTACTGACAGGGCGACTGCATGGTAGGGTGTTATGCTAATGGCCCTCTCTGGACATGGAAGCATGAATGAAAGCAGGTTGAGGGGTGGAATAGGTCTTAAAGCCAAATGTGCCCTTAGTAAAAATACCAAAGATTAATTTGAAAATAAGGTGTTTTTCTTACAGTTAGATGGCTCAAAACTCTTAAACCAATCACCAGAATGAAGCAACTGATGAGTGTGTAGCTCTGCAGGGCTGTATTGTCAGATAAATAATGTTTCAGAGTAAGTTTAAAATTATACTGAAATAATCTTCCTTTGTATTTCCTGTAGGCTGTGGCGGAATTAGAAAATGTAAAAGCGGAATCAGACCTATTAAAAAAACAGCTGTCAAATGAAAGACATACTATTAAAAACCTTGAATCATTGTTGGCTACCAATAGAGATAAAGAATTTCATTCTCATTTAACCTCCCACGAGAAGGATACAGAAATTCAGCTCCTTAAAGAGAAGTTAGCCCTTTCTGAAAGCAAATTGTAAGTATTGTAAATAAACCTGTGCAAGGAAAATAGCTTGTCAAAAATAATTTTTTAATTTTTTTGAGGGAAAGAAAAGCCTGAGCGAAGAGTGGTGCAAAGTCAAAATATTTGACTTCTGTGTCTGCCGCTTTGGGAACATGCAGGAGTGGCTCAGGAGGGTCATTGTGTTTGGAAAATGCAGGCCTGTTGCCTTCACTACCCAGGTGGTACCCTGGGAGCGGGCTAGAAGCGTGAACCATAGGAAAGCGCGTCTGTTTCAGAAGTGGCCAGAGCAGTCAGTGAGAGACAGCTTTTCAGGATGGGGAGAGCTGGCTGTGTCTCATCCTGTGGATGAAGAGAAAGGGACGAGGTCCGACCCCATGAGTGTGCACCACTCCTCCCTGGTCTCTGCTTAGAGGAGAGAAGTTTGGGGGCCAGGTGGACTGGTTACTGTGCTGGACTTCAACTTGGCCAATTGCAGTTGAAGTCCTGGACCTAGTGGCTTGAAAGTCATGCTGGGCACATGTCCACGCATGCACAAAATCCCTAGAGGAGATGAGAGGAGCAGAGATTGCAGTCCTTCTCACTGTCTATCTCTGCCCAGCAAACACATGCGTCCTATGGCAAAAACCTTGGGGGAAAATAAGAGAATAGAGAATTGCAGGCACATTTGTTGGAAGAGGAGTGGGTGGTACAAGTGGAAGAATGAGCTTTTAAAAGGGGTTAAAAATATTTCTCTCTGTGAAATACAAATCAAGAAAGAGCCAATGAAGACACTTTCTGTCTTGGTGTGATGTTCCATGTCTTGGGTAAATTTGTGTCGTTAGCACTGCTTTGGTAACTAGCATATATCAGAAGCTCAATAAATGTTAGTTAAATAAGCCAGAATAATAAAGAGGAAACTGTGATAGACACTCCAAAAGGCTGAGGAATTGTTAAAGGTCTTGATTTCCCCTTTCTCTATCATTAAACATCATTTCTATTTGTGCTAACTAATTTTTCAAAAATCTATAGCACTCGACTCTATAAAACAGGACATTTGTTATTTTTTTTTAATTCTTTTGTTTTGTTTTAAAGAACTAGTCAAAGCCGTGAAAACACCATGCTTCGAAATAAAGTGGCACAATTCCAAACAGATTACGATGCTCTGAAAAGGCAAATTTCAACTGAAAGATATGAACGGTGAGAAAACGATGTTGGCATTAGACAGTGTTTTTATATTCCCTGTCCCATTCCAAAAAGGATTTAATATGGCTTACAAATAGCAGGCTTGTTTTTTTTTTTTTTTTTCTAGCAGCATTAATTAATAGCAAAACAGATTTCTTCCTTAAAAGACAGCAAGTATTATGGATGATAACATTCCCATAATAAATAAATAGCAAATGTTACATGAATGTTTTCTATTAGTAGTCCTCAAGGAAAAATGAGGGCATTATTTCAAAAGGTATATATAGGAAATAACACGGCAATCCCCAAGGACCCCATAATATGACCCAAATAGAAAACTCCAAATACAAATCATAAAAATACTGGAGGGGGGGGCCGGCAGGTTGCATGGTGGTTAAGAGCGCTGGACTCCCACATGGCTGACTGCATTTCGAGTCCCAGACCTGGTAGCTTGCTTTCTCATTCTCTCTCTCTCTCTCTCTCTCTCTCTCTCTCTTGTTCTATCCCTCTCTGGTCAAATTTTTAAAAAATAAATAAGTAAATAAAATTAATAAATAAAGTTAAATAAAATAATTATTTTTTAAAATTATGATGGTGGTGCTCATAGGAGCGATTAAAACATGTGTGCCAGATAGTATGTGTGTGTCTGATCGATCCTGTCAGGGATCCACTGTGATGCCTGTAATTGAGGTCCAGACAGTAAATGGCAAGGCCAAGACTGAGGCCCAGGCAGGTCTGTCTGTCCTGCAGCTTGTAGGCTGAGCATGTCCAGTATATTCCGTACAGCTTGATCATTTTCATACTCAGATTTTGGCTTATTTGTTTTATGTTGAAAAACTTTATGAGACTCGCTTTAAGAATTAAAACTGAAGTTTAATTTGCAAATTAATTGTCAGTTTACTTTCCTTCCATTACTGTTTCCTCCTATATTAAAACTGGACTTCAGTATTCCTGAGATTGCATTCTCTGATAGTGTCCAAAAGCTGATTAGGTCAGGGCTGAAGAGTTCAGTAAAAGAAGTAAGGAAAGGTCATCTAGGTAGCAAGAGAACCCAGAGATGGTGGTGGCATTAGAGCCAAAGTGGCCGACAGCACCAGAGGCCAGAAGAGCCGTCAGGCCAGGCATTTGCCTACCAGCATGTGGACATTAATCTGTAAGAATATGTTAACGTGTTGGCTGTAATTTTTTTCTTACATTTTAAAACATAAAAAAGAAAAGTAAAAAGAGCTTCAAGTTCTTCCTTTCAGAGTCACTAGTGGCATGTTCGAGTTTAACCTCTAGCTGTGCATACACGTGGTATCTTACTGTTTTGTTTTTTTTTTTATTTTTTTAAGAATTACTTTAATGGGACCAGCAGTTGACATAATGGCTATGATGCTAGACTCTCCCATGTGGTCAACTGCAGTTTGAGTCCCAGGCCTGGTGGCTTAAACTCATGCCAGGCATGTGTGTGTGCACGTGCCTAAGAATCCCTAGAGGAGAATGGAGGAGAAGGGATTGTGGTGTGGCCATCGCCCCAGGGGATGATTTCTTGCTTTCTGTCTCTTTTAAATTGGCTCTAAGGAATGTGTGCTGACCAGAGTGAGAGAAAGAGGGAAAGTACGAAAGCAAGCCACCAGGTCTAGGACTCGAACCACAGTCGGCCAAGTAGGAGTCCAGCACCTTAACCACCACTCCGCCTGCTGGCCTGGTATCCTACATTTTTTCATTAAATATATTGTGAGCATTTTGCTTCTAAAATATTATTTTAATGATTACTTATTATTCCAACATAGTTATGCCATAATTGTTTTTGAACCATCTCTTCTAATGTATATTCTTTTCATTAAAATATTTTATTACAACTTAAAAATTGTACAAAGGCAGGCCAGCAGGTGGTATGGAGGTGAAGGCTCTGGATCCCATATGCATGATTCAAATCCCACACACAGTGGTTTGAAAATCACTCTGGGTGTTTGTGCATTTATGCCCAAAGTCCCAGAAAGAGGGTGGAGAAGGATGGCAGTGTGGCCATCCCCCCAAGGGGGTAATTTCTCTCTCTCTCTCTATCTGTCCCTCTCTGGAGAGCACATGTACCCTATAGCAAAAATAAAAACAAAACAAAACCAACAACATTTGTACAAAGACATAGGATTTAAATCTAGTTTAAAACTAATTAATTTAGTAAAAATTGTTAAATTAACAGTGATAGCACCTTATACTTGCACGCGACTTTTTAGTTTTTTCCTGCTACTTGTATTTAATCTCTCTCGTTTGATCTTTACCAACAGAGAACGAGCGATCCAAGAAATGCGTCGACATGGTCTTCCCACACCACCCCTTAGTTCTACTCTGAAGTCTCCTTCAAGTTCTCCCGAACATATAGATGTGTAATTATCAGAAAAGTATGTATGTAACACTAGGATAAGCAAAACTATAGTAGTGAAAATTCAGAAAATAACTATTTGCGTCAGGGGAGGGGAGATTGCCTAGAAACATGTTCAAGAGAAATTCCTGGAGTAGGAGTCTGGAAATATTCTGCATTTGGGTGCTGATGGTGATTGCATAGGTATATACAATTGTTAAAAACTCATTAAACCAGGGGCCAGCAGGTCACATGGTAGTTAAGGCACTGGACTCCCGGCTGGCCGACTATGGTTTGTGTCCCAGACTTGATGACTTGAAAATCATGCCAAGTGTGTGTGCGTGTGTGCCCAAAATCCCAGGAGAAGAATGGAAAGAGACTGTGCCGTGGTCCTCCCTTCTAGGGAGTGGTTTCTTACTTCCCTCTCACTTCTCTCTCTGGCTCTCTCCAGTAAGTTCATGTGCCGTATGGCAAAAACCTTAAGAAAAAAAAAAAAATCATTAAACTGAACATCTACATGCATTTTAATGTATATAATTCCTAACTGCATTTAAAAAGAGAAGGAATCTGCAGTAAAAAGTTAAATGGAAATGATATAACAGAAGGAAGTATTTGTCAAATTGCCAGGTTCAAGGTACAAATAATAGGTGCTAAAACTGTGGACAGAGACATGAAAATAGGAATGCACTTGGCACAGTAGACTCAGTGTGGCAGGAATGGCAGGCTATAGGGCGTCAGGAGGAGGAAAGTGGTATGGAAGGTGGAGTGGGGTGAGTAGAGTATATTGAATTGGGGTTATTTTAGAGATTGAAAACATGATTCCCTATGTCCTAGGGAGCCATCAGGGGACCTCCTGTGTGTGGGAGGGATTAAGAAAAAAGAACAAAGGACCAGCAGTTAGCATAATGGATATGTCATTGGGTTCCCATGTAGTCGACCATGGTTCAAGTCCCAGGCCTGGTGGCTTAAACTCATGCCGGGTGCATGTGCATGCATGCCCAAGATCCCCAGAGGAGAATGGAGGAGAAGGGATTGCGGCATGGCCATCCCCCGGGGGGTGATTTTTCGCTTTCTCTCTGTCTCTCTCTGTCTTTCTGGCAAGCACACACACCCTATGGCAAAAAACTCTCAAAAAAAAAAAAAACTAGAGGCAGAGAGACCATATGATTCAGTTCAGGATCAGTATTACACTCGAAAACTAAAACTTCAAAGTTTTTTGCTATAGGGTACATGTTCTTACCAGAGAAACAGGGAAAGTGAGAATGCATTCCCTGGGGAGATGGCCATGCCACAGTCCCTTCTCCATTCTTCCCTTGGGATTTTGGGCATGCACACACGTGCACTGGGGATGTTTTTCAAGGAGTCAAAATGAGTAGTCAGCCATGTGGGAATCCAGTCCTTCACCACCACGCCACTTACTGGCCTACTAGGGCTTCCTTTTTTAAAATAAATTACACGTACAGAAAAGTACCATGTCGTAGGTGTACAGCTTAACGACCTTCCACACTGAACACAACTATGTGATCTCCCACGTCAAGGAACACCTTCTTGGGCTTCCTGCTCTGGAAGCAACTGTCCTGACTGTTAAAAGCTTAGCTTCTTTTAGCCTGCTTTTGGCCATTCTGTAGGTGAAATCATGTTTCTGGCTTCTGTCCTCGTGCTACGTTTGTGAGATTAACAGCATACACACAGTACATGGTCATGTGACCGGTAGGTTGCTCCATCTGGTTGCTTCATCTATTGCACGATGAAATATGACGGGGGGCACCAGATGGCACAATGGTTATGTCACTGGGCTCCCACATAATCAGTCATGGTTATTTAACTTCATTTCTTTAACAATAAAATTTAATTTGACCAGAGAGGGACAGAGAGAAAGTGAGAAAGCAAGCCACCAGGTCCGGGACTCAGACCACGGTCAGCCATGTGGGAGTCCAGCATCCTTAACCACCATGCCTCCTGCTGGTTCCAGTAAAATAATTCTTAAAAAAAAAAGAAAAAGAAAAACAGAAATACGAGGACATGAACTTACCAAGATCCATTTACTCATCCCTCTGTGGACAGGCGTTCGGTATTTTCCGCTGGGGGCTCTTACAAACAGTGTGGTGGATGCACACTCGGAGCGAAATTGCTGGGTCACTGGCCGTGCATCTGCTCACACTTTGCTAGATAAGGCTGAACCTCTTTCTAGAGCAGTTGTAGAGAGTTTGGACACATTTGACCAAAGAAGGGTCCAGGGACTGCTGATTCGCTGGAGATGGAAATGAAAGGGAAAGAAGCATGAGTCAGACCCAGGAGTTAGCGGTGACGGCGGACAGTGCAGACTCACTAACAAAAATAGTTACCTCGGCCCTTTTTGAAATGCATGCTTCTCTGTGTGTTTTTAATAGAAGTGTGTGAACGATAATTAGACGTTCCTCGATGACTCGGAATCGCCTTCCGAGCAGCAGCTCTGTGTTGGGCGTCACCACGCTGGCCCTGTGTGTGTAGAGCTTAGGTTTAAATGGCTCCTGACTATTGTGCTTTTGCTTCTGACTTTGTCTGATTAAAACACTTATTTTCCTCTCACTTCGAGGCCCACTTCTAAGCGCCCGCTGCAGTCATGACGTCCTCACAACTTGCGAGCTGCCTTGTCATGGCGATGCCCTCCGTTATGGAGCCTGGCTCGGTGCGAACGAGGGTCTGTGGGCCAGCCCACCCGCTGCCTCCTTTTATGAAGGAAGCTATTAGAGCATAGCCTCGAGCGCAGCCCTTGTTCACACGTCCTCCCCGACTGCTTTCTGCAGTGGCAGAATCGAGTGGTTGGGACAGACCCAGTGGCTCACAAATCTGAGGTGTTTCTTCCTTGGCTTTTCACCCATGTAGCCTCTGGGAATCTCAACTGTACACCTGTAGAAAATGAGAACGAACGGCAGATAATTCCTTGGTTTTATGAAAATAGGCTTGACAGGACCGGCAGGTGGCATGGTAGTTGGGGCACTGAACTCCCACATGGTCAGCTACGGTTCAACACTCAGACTTGGCAGCTTGCTTTCTCACTTTTCCTCTGTCTCTCTCTGGTCAAATTTAAATAATAAATAAAATTAATTTAATTATTAAAAAGAAAAGCATTGTAAAATAACTTCCTTTTCAACCACAGTCGAGTTAACTAACTACAGCTTAAAAAATGTAAAAAACAAATATGCATGTTAAGATGTTTGACATACTTAAAAGTTAAATAAATGCAACTCAAGGCGGTGATGAAATTGCATTATTTGCTACATTCAATTACAAAAAATAAAAGATTATAAAGAAAATAGGCTTGTATTTATAGATTCCCTAAAAGGGTCTCAGGGACTCAGGGGACCCCCACTGCACTTTAAGAACCAGTGATAGAGGGACCAGCCAGTGGCATAATGGTTAAAGCTCTGTGCCCCTACATGGCTGACCATGGTTCAAGTCCTGGATGCCTGAAACACGCTGGACGTATGTACAAAACCTAAGAGGAGAATGGAGACGTGATTGCAGTATGGCCATCCCCTGAGGGGTGGTTTTTCACTTTTTTTCTGTCTCTGGTTAGCGCACACACCCCTACAGCAGAAATCCCCCCCACACTCCAGAAAATACAGAAAAGTATAACGATACCAAAGTAGCCTTTTTAAAAAGCATAGAATAGTACTTATTAAATATAAGTGGATTTAGCGCATCAGGTTTGCTAGAAACTACACTTCTGTTTAAAACATTTATTTAATTTCATTTTTTTTGGTGAATATATTGAGTAACTTCATTTATCATGTTTCCCTTAACCCATGATCCCCCTCCCTTTCCGAATAACAGCCCTCCCTGAGCTCGTGCGGATTTGTAAAAGAGCAGAGCGGTGTGGAATACATGAAGCAGCTGCTGAAAATCATGAACGTTGACGCAGATTCTACCTCTGTCAGCTTTTCTTTAAATCAGTGAATATTTATTTGTAAAAGTTTGGTTTGAAAGAGCTATATTTATGTATATGTTTTAGTATATATGACAAAACAAAATATGTATTAATAGTGTTTTTCTGATACTATATCTGTATTTTTATTATTCCTGACTTGGATGACTCCTCCAAGTGTGTTTATCTTGTGCATTAATATAATGTATGGTTCACATTATGCCGTAATAATATATTTCTAATGAGCTGGTATGTAAATACTCTTACATCACTTGATTCGGAAGCCTTCTTAGTTTTCATGCCTGTGTATAACTCATATCTCAGCATATTCACACTTCTCACCTTTATGCTGTGCTATTATGCTTAACTTTTTGTTCCTCAATCTAAAATGAATTACATTCGTCTGTCATCAAGGGGGATGTATTCAGGTCTAGTTAATGTAATAGCAGAGGTCATGATAAAGAATGAATACTGTGTACAAGTTCTTATTGCCAGCTGAAGAGCTAGCTGGGGGAGACCCATGTATCTCTTTATACATTAGATTATTCTGCTTCTCCCGTGGACTGTTCACATACTACAAATCCTACCACAATCAAACTAAAAGCTATATTCAGAGCTTTACTTATAAAACAATAGAACAGAAATTTGGGTCATTTTTTTTAATAAATGAAATTCTTCACTGTATTAGTCTAATCAGAGTATATGAAATAAATATAGTAAAATAATTTTGTTAAAATTTCAATATACATTCAATAATAATATTTTGCATCTGAACCTATATGTTGTAATTTAACAGTCTTCCAGAATAGCATGTAAATTGAAAACAGCTTTTTACAATTAATTTTCAGAGTTGTAATTTTAAAGAGTTTAGATGTATACATCTATTAATAAAAGAGCAGAAGTACAAAATAGAATGTCAGATACAAATATTAATCGTGTTTGAACCATACACATTTAGAGAAAATCCTATTCTTAGTAGATATCATTATGATTGAAAAAGAACTTAAAAATCTAACAGAGAAAAGTGAAAAACCAATTGCTTACATTTGTTTCCTCGTGTGTGTGTGTGTGTGTGTGTGTGTGTGTGTGTGCGCGCGCGAGCGCTTAGAGGTGGACAGTGCTCTTCTCTGAAACTGTGTGCCTTCTGTGTCCAGGTTCTGCCTTGGGGTGGGACGGCTTTACTTTTCCAACATCTTCGCGGTTTTTATCTATCTGTCATCTACTTTGCGTGACTTTGTGTGACTTTGTGTATTGTAGCAAAAATACAAGAGAATTGAAACTATTTGCAATGTCATACGGAAAAATCTTTTAATAAACATATGTAAATGAAATAAAAAATGTTTGTCCCCACCTTCCCCCCTCAAAGCAACAGCAAGACCTATTTTGTTAGATATTATATTTTTAATGTTTTCTATAATTAAAAAATGTATACCTTGCAGTAATTGTTATTTTCATAACCTTTATACTACACTTTTTAAAAACTAATTTTTTCTTAAGATACTGAATGTCTTGACCTTTTATACATGTTTTCCATTTTGTTTTAAATAATTTAAAATTATGGAGCTTGACAAAGATTTTCCAATAAACTTTCCAGACAATTTATTTTATAAATAGTCTTTCATAATTTTATATTAGCAATATTCTTAATTCTAAACTTAATTAAAATTTATTTAAATTGGTCTTTGTCATGGTGGAATATGGGGAAATCCCTGAATTTAAGTAGCAGGCACTTTTAATACTGACTCACAAGTATTTCCATTTAGTTCAAAATATGCGAAAGGAAGTCAAACTTGACATTCGTTTTTTTCATCCACAAAACAGTGAACCCCTGTGCGTGCGCGTACCCGGTTTTCTCGTTTGCAGGTGCTCTTTGTTGGGATGGTGAATGACCATTCGACTGCCCTCCTGCCCTGCCTGGCTGCAGCTCGTCTTACCTGACCACACACTTGCCCCCCCATCCTTAGATTTTAGCGCTGTGGCTCACTGTCTACCGTGCTGCCGTCGATTCTAGCAGTTGAAGGTCAGTATCGTCTTGGACAATGGTAACTGGTCAGATCTGCACACTTCCGGGAATTTTAACAAAAAGTGGATGTGTGAATGCCTACACCAGACCAAATCGGTTAGCATCGTTGTGACCGAGTTGTGGTCTTACTTCTTTGTTGTTTTCTTTCTTACAATTTTCAGTTTAGGTCCTCTAGGTTATTCTAATGTGCAGCAGTGGTGAACAATTCTAATTTTAAAAACAGACCTGAGGGGCCAGCAGGTGGCATGGTGATGACGGCGCTGGATACTCCCACATGGCTGACCACTGTTCACATCCTGGACCTGGACGCTTGCTTTCTCGCTTTCCTTCTGTTGTGTGTGTGTCTCTCTCTGGTCAAATTAAAATAAATAAATGAATAATTCTTTAAATAAAAAAAAACGGACCTGGGGTAGCAGGTAGCTGAGGAGCTGGACTTCCACATAGCCGACTACGGCTCGAGTCTGAGCTTGTTTTCTCACTTTCCCCCTTTCTCAGTCTCTCTGTTAAGTTCATACACTCTATAGCAAAATTTTAGAAATAATAGATAATTGTTTAAAAAAATAAAAAAACAGACCAACCAAATTGATTTTCTGACCTACTAATGGAACTCAATGTATTGGTTTTTTTGTTTGTTTTTTGGTTTTTGTTTTTTTTTTGAGAGGTTTTTGCTAAACGGTGTGTGCACTTGCTAGACAGAGAGACAGAAAGCAAGAAATCACCCCCCAGGGGGGATGGCCACGCTGCAATCCCTTCTCCGTTCTCCTCTTGGAATCTTGGGCACGCACACACACGCGCCCAGCGTGAGTTTAAGCCACCGAGTCTAGGAATCAAACTGCTGTTGACTACATGGGAGTCCAGCGACATAGCCATTATGCTAACTGCCGGTCCCAAAAGTCATAAAATTCTATTTTAACAGTTCAATTTCATGTAATTAATCTCTCTTCTGTTGTGATCCAATCTTTCCATTTAAATCCTGGAAGTTAATATTCAACTCTGGACTTGTCTCTACCATTACGTTGGCCATTTTCTTGGTTGTTTTGGGGCTCTTATTTCTGTGTGTGTGTGTCTTTAGTTTTCCTGGAATAGCATTCCATTCAGAACTTCTTGGAGAGCTGGTCTGGTGTTGGTAAATTCTTTCAGGTTTTGTTTATCTGAGAATGTTGGTTTTTTTTTTTTTTTTTCCTTTCCCATATGAAGGATTATGATGCTAGGTAAAGAACTCTTGGTTAAGGGACCAGAAGTTAGCGTAATGGCTATGTTACTGAACTCTCACGTAGCTGACCACAGTTCAAGTCCCGGACCCAGTGGCTTAAATACACGCTGGGCGCGTGTGCGTGCATGCCCAAGATCCCAAGAGGAGAATGGAGGAGAAGGGATTGCAGCATGGCCATCCTCCCTGGGGGGTGATTTCTCGTTTTCTGTCTCTGTCTCTCTGTCTTTCTGGTGAGCGCACGTGCCCTATAGCAAAAACCTCTCAAAAAGAAAAAAAAGAATTCTTGGTTAAAATTGTTTTCACGTAACACTGAATATATTTAACCATTTTTCCCTTGCTGGTATTGTTTCCAATGAGAGGTCTGCTGATACCCTGATGGGATATCCTTTGTAAGTAACCTGACATTTCTCTCTGACCAATTTTAGTACCTTGTCTTTGTCTGTGGTTTTGTTTAATCTGGCTATGATGTGTCTTGGAGAAGATCTTCTTGGGTTGATTCCATTTGGGGTTCTTTGTATTTCTTGGGTCTGAATGCCTCCCCAGGTTTGGAAAGTTTTCTTCTAGGACTTCATGGAATAGATTATTAGTTTCTTATTAGTTTCTTCACCTTCTGGGATAGATTATCCAGATATTTGGATGTTTAATGGTATCTAATACTAATATTATTATATTATTATCTCTTATATTGTTCTCTTTTTTTGGGTTATTTTCTCAGACTTTGTGGTAAATTTTTCTAGGCCAGGGATTCTGTGTTCTACATCTGAGATTCGATCTTCTGCATGATCTAATCTGCTTTTAATACTTTCGAGGGAGTTTTGGATTTCATGTATTATAGCCTTCATCTCCAATAGTTTGGTTTGATTCTTTCTTATGATGTGCATTTCCTCTTTCGACTTGTGCAAGAACTTCCACACCTTCTGGAACTCACTGACTCTTTTTTCCTCCCTCTTCTGGTGTTCATTGCTTCTCATCTCTTGTATTTCTGTTAGCTTTGTTCTTATGAATATTCTAAATTTTTTACCAGCTATTTCCACGAGTTCCGTTGTACTGTCTGTGGATGATGAGGAGATGTTATTTTCCCTTGGGGGAGAGATATTTTCTTAGTTTCTCATATTTCTTGTGCCTCTGGGGTGGTTTCTGGTCATCTGATGGACTATATATTTATTCCTAATTTCTCGAAGTTCAATCTGAGTGTTCAGAGGTGTGCAGGAGGAGGTAATTTGCAATCTTTCTGCAGTTCCATTTTTCTCCCTTTGTAGAGCAGATTCAGTGGGAACCGAGGATTATTCTGACCCTAATGGTATTCAGATGTTTGAGTACTGTGCACTTAGACCTGTCTAGACGTTCAGTGTGTGGAGGCTGAGCACCAAAGTGACAAAGGTAAAAGGAAAAGAAAACAAAAAAAATAAAGAAAGAAAAAAGAAGAAAAATAATAATTTAAAAAAATTTTATTTTTTAAAAAAGCAAAAAATGAAAACCATGCAGCATGCTAGCCACTCTAGATTGGAGTCTGGAGCATGAAGTCTGAGCAGAAAATGTTCAGTTGTTCTAGCCCCTGAAAGGGATTGGTCCCAGCTCAAATATAGATGGCTTCCATCACCATCATTTTTAATTTGCCGTAGGAGATGTGCTTTCACCAGAGAGAGAGAGAGAGAGAGAGAGAGAGAGCACCCCACCCTCAGGTCCAGGACTGGAACCACAGTTGGCCATGTGGGAGTCCAGTGCCTCCACCATGCCACTGCTGGCCCTGTTACCAGTGATTGTTAAATGTGGACTGAATCAGGGGCCAACCAGGTGGAGTGGTGGTTAAAGATACTGGACTCGCACGTGGCCGACCATGGTTCTAGTCCCAGTCCTGGGGCTTACTTTCTCACTTTCTCCCTTTGTCTCTGTCTGATGAGTGCATGTGTCATGTACCAAATTAAAAAATAAGAATGATGACAAAATTAAATAAATAATTATTTTAAAAAACTGTGGACTGGATCAAATCACTACTCTGCTCCTAATCCTATAATGACTTCCTCACACAGAAAGTGAAATTGAAAGATCTAGTATAGACTACAAGGCACTTTGTAATCCGGCCCTGGCTTCCATGCCACTATGGCTTCTCACCAGCCTTTCCTCTAAATGTCAAGTATCTTGACCTCCTTATTGTGCTGGAAACCCTCTTCCCTCACAGGAAGATAGCAGCACCAAATAACAAGACAGTGAACAAGCACCAAGTGAGTCCCAGAGCCAGCGACTTGAGAGACAAGCTGGATGCATGTGCGTGAGTGCCCAGAATCCTGAGAGGAGAGTGGAGGAGATGGGATTGGCATGGCCATCCCCGCTGGGGATCATTTCTGAACCCACTCCCATTCTCTCTCTGTGAGCGCACATGCCTATATTTTTTGTTTGTTTATTTGTTTACATAGGGAGTGTGAACTCACTGGAAAGAGAGACAGTGAGAGAGAAAATGAGAAATCACCCCCTGGGGGGATGGCCACACTACAATCCCTTCTCTTCATTATTCTCCTGGGATTTTGGGCATGCATGCACACGCACCTGGTGTGATTTTCAAGCCACCAGTCTAGGACTCGAACCACGTTCAGCTGTGTTGGAGCCCAGCACCTTAAACACTATACCACCTCCTGGTCATCCACGGCAAATTAAAAAAAAAAAAATTAATTGAAAAAGGACCTGGAGAAAGCCAAGTAAGAGAGTGGAAATAAACCCCACACATTTAAATACAAGGAAACTATTAAATCTTCTAGAAAGAAACAAATTATCTAAAAATGAACAAGAGTCAGATTTACATCAAACTTCTTGATAGCTATGTTGGAAACAAGAATACAGTATTTTAGAATATGGAAAGAAAATGATTTTGAACCTACTATTTGATAACTAGCCACACCATCATTCAAATCAAATGTAACAGTCACAGGCATACAAAGTCTTAGAACCTTCATTTGTCCAGCGAAGATTCACATTCAAAAAACTTAAAGAAATTGATTTAAAAAGTAAGTAGGGGCCAGCAGGTGGCGTAATGATTACGTCGCTGGACTCCCACATAGTTGACCAAGGCTCAAGTCGCAGACCTGGTGGCTTAAAACTCACACTGGGTGTGCGTGTGTGTGGGGTGGCATGGCTAAGATGCTGGACACTCCCACGTGGTCAACCATGGTTCGAGTGGCTTTTTTTTTCTCTTTTTTTTCCTCTCTCTCTCTCTCTGGTCAAATTAAATAAATGAATAAATAAAATTAAACAAATCTTAAAAAAAAAAAAAATCTCACACTGGGTGCATGTGCGTGCATGCCCAAGATCCCGAGAGGAAAATAGAGAAGGGATTGCAGCATGGCCACCCTCACTGGGGGGTGATT